CAAGAACGGTATGAGTGAATTTGCTGTTTGGAAAGCAAAACAGGAATCAACCAGCTGAGACAACACTGTGCTTCACTAATATTAGCAGGGATATAATTAAAAGTTTCTTGACCACATGTAAAAAACCATCCTTCTCTAATATCAGGCAGAAGTAGCCTTCTGCCTGATATTAGAGAAGGCTTGATGAGGCTTGCCAGAAACAGGCACTTTTCCAAATGTTTGGTAGGCGCATTCAGAAGAAACCTGTAAAGTGGCAGCTGGTAAACTAATCTGAGCATCAACTGGAGCAAAGGGCCCAGATCCGTACAATTGATCAGGAATGAAGACCCCTCCCTTTGAGTGAAGAGCATGCACAGCACATTGGTGTTTAAATTCACTGTCCAAACCACATATTGCGCTGGAGTAAGCAACATGTGAAAAGTTGTTTTCCAATCTTCAGGTACCAAAATATGATTTCTCATAATGGCTCCCAGCATTCCCTGCATATAGGTACTACCCAAACCCATACTATATCTCTAATACCTTTTCTAAGTTCCGTTAAAACTGCATATGACAGAGGACAATATTCTACTATCTAAGCTCTATTCTGATCTACTTGTCCCGTAGCGTGTACTGGACAAACAGACAACAATTCAGCAATTTATTCTATATTCTCCCCCCCACACTTTTGCTAATTGTTCCTCTAGAATTTGCCTCATGGGAGTATACAATGGCCGTGGAGAAGCAGAAGAATTAGCCTCTTCATGAGGAGCTGAAGGTCCAATTGAAGATGATTTCGTGGGAATAATTTTTATTTGATTGTAATCAGGTGTAGATTTTGTGGTCAATTATCCTGCCAAAGCATCAGAGCCAAATTTTTCCACTGCTTGATAGCATTGAAACCATAGATGTAATATCTGTATTGGAGCCCGGGGTTCAAGATGTAAAGTATGCCCTATCTTTGTCCAATCCCGTAAATGGAGCATCCCACTCTCCAGATACCAGGGACAATGTTTTCCTATCTCCCCAACCAGCTTCCTTATATCTGCCTCAGGTGCTGTAACACCTGACTTTTGTAACAGGAATCGAAGTTCCTGTTCATGTTGGTGCTGTTGTTGAGATAGATTGCAACCCACCACTGATGTATAGTCTTACAAGAAAAACCATAATCTGGACAAGTCTCATGTTTCTAGGTATAGAGAATTTTGGATTTTGAATATTGAATATTTTTCCAAGGCCTTCATTACTACTTTAGAAATCTGTTATCGAAAGTAGTTTTTAACTACTAGTTCATTTACAGTTAATCATAGAAGTTATCTCCCAGTTTAATATCTTCATTATCAATTCTGAGACTACTTTTAATACCTGTTATTATTTAATCTTGATATATAATTGTAGTCTCATTCTTTACTATGCTCATTGATTTTCATTACTATATGTTGTAGATAATTTGCATTTTAGTTATCAGCTATTTCTTGCTCTGAATTTGTATTTCTGAACTGAGTAGGATGTTGAATTTAAAGGCACAGTTGTGTGGCACAAAGAACACTTTGAAAACAAAACTATAGAGATTATGCCTTTTAAAAAAAAGTCTTTGGGAAATCTAGTCCTGATTTTTTTTTCAGTTTCCTGATTGACTTTAGAATACAAAAGCTGAATGTTGGCACAGCTGTGATTTTAAGAATTCTCTGACTGCTCATCATATTTTAGTGGATGATGTGCACATCTCTTAGATTGATATTCTTATTGACTTTCTTATTGACTGCTGAAGATGTTCAATTAAGATAAATGTTAATGAATCATTTAGTTCTACTTTGGAATTCAAGTTTTCAAAATATCCAATTAAGCTATTTTGCATAAACTACTAGATTGCAGCATGTGATTGCACGATGAGTAAAAGAGAAGAAAACATTCCAACTGTTTCAATTTTTCTGCATAAATAAGAGGTTGAACAAAAGACTGAACTTAAACAGTACTGCTCAAAATGTACAATATTTCTTTTTAAAGTATTTTAAAATCTGATTTATAAAATAAGGTATTCCTTTGCATGTCTTGTATTTCACTTCTTAGAGTATTATCTGTTAGTATGCAAGTACCGCAGTTCTTTAAACAAGATTTTTTTGAAGCAACTAGCTAAGAAATTTGATGGCAAAAATAACAGGTGTATGTAATGTAAGAAATTAAAGTAATTTATATTGTTTTATGTATATACTTTTCTCTAATTGAATGGTGAAAAACACACAAAGGATATTTAAAGCTTTTAAGAACTCCCTGGCAATAGAAATTGTGGCAAGTGAAAAAATATACTTCACTGAAAGTCCAATCAGCTTCTACCCACCTGGTGTATTCTTCTCTTTAAAAAAAGTAGACTAGTATTTTCATCATTCCTAGCAAAATTGGGGGGGGGGGAGAGATTGGGCAACTTATATGAAGCATGAAGACATTAGAAGTATTAAATTTTGACATAACATTAATGAACCCACCTGATTAATTGCTAGTAAAATAAATGAAACACTATGCAATATTCATTCATGGACAAATTAGAGTTTTCAGTTAACTAGAGCATTAGCATACACCCACATGAGAAAGTTGTTCAGAGCAGGTGATGATTAAGGGTAATAGAATAATTGTTATGTAGCATGGTTTTTCCCAGCCCACATCTTTTGATTTTAAAACTCTTTAGACTAGTGTGGAAAATACATGGTAAAATGTATATTATTAGAGCAAAATTATGAGCAAAACAATTCTTTATATGTCCTTTACAATTTAGAAAGGGGATTTGCTACAGTAATATCATTTACTTGCTTCTAAAAATTTTGGATCTATTCCACTGATGATTCTTGTTTTAGTAAAACAAAACACAACATACAGTATAAAATTACAATTTTAATTTTGAAAAGAGGGATATTGAAGTCCATCTCCTTTACTCTATTTACTTTACAAGTGGGGAACATAATCTTTTGAGAGAAAAGCCACTGTGAAATTAGTTCAGGACATGCAGAATTTTTGAGAGACCCCCAAATTTATATATATATTATTAATTTTAATTCATTAATTTAACACAGAGTATTGTCCTTAGCTAAATTTTTAAAGTCCTCTAGAAGGAAACCAATTTACCCCATAGCCTAGTGGAGAAGAGATGGAGAAAGACAAAAACAAAACTTGTTCATTGTTTGCTTAAGCTCCAGCAATCATAACATAGCACATCTATGGATTACTCAAAACGTTTATCCACTGTTGGTTTAACAGATACTTAAACCACTAGTTTTATTTACCACTGAGATATCTTGGTGATTATTAAAACCTATTGGCTCTAGAATTGGGTGGTATCATTAAAAAGTCCTTTAGAATTATCCCATCTTGGGTAAGGATCAATTGTAGATTATTCAACTAAAATACTGCTCTGGATCATGTGCATATATTATTTGCTTTAAATCTCCATTCATGCTTGCTGTAATATCCAGGAAATTTTCATTTTAAAAAGCAAACATGGCCCTTTAAAATGAAACTAGATTTGCTATCCTTGGGTCATGCCCCCGCCTCCAAGTGATTCTAAGATTATAATGCAAGGAAAGCATTTGATTATTTAAGAAAAGTAAATAACTATGATTTCTGAAACTATGGTTTAGCAAGGAAACTATAGTTTAGGACTATATTAGGAGATAAACAGCTTTAACACAGCATTATTGTTATGGAAATTGAACTTTTATTTAAACTTAACTGTGGACAAGCTGTTTTTCCTATCAATGTGTTCTTGTCTATGGAATGACTTGCCTCTAAAAGTTATGGGTGCTCTAATACTGGAGCGTTTAAGAAGACACCCCAGTATTAGAAGAGATTGAAAATGGTATAGAGTTTCCTGCTTGACAAGGGAACTGGACTAGAAGACCTCCAAGATCTTTTGAAAAAGCAGCTTTGGGACAATCATGACCTGGATGACTGAAAATTTTCATAAATATTCAATATTCCTTCCAACTCTGTTATTCTGTATTATTTAAATACGTGCTCACATGATTGATTACCACTTCCCATGAACTAGAACTACCTCGTCCATAGCTAGTTTTGTTTCAGCTTCTCTAAAGCAGCTATTGCTCTGAAATATATCAGAATGTTTTGCATTTTCAAGGTTGATCCCAAATCCATGAACTGGTAACTAGGTCACAAACCTCTTCAGAAGGCAGAAATGTTCAATTCTTTAGTGTGATAAAACAAGCCCGTGGAATAACTGGAACAGAGCCAATTGGCATTGTAAGGAGCAGCAGTTAGTCAAACTGGCATTTAGAGTCTGTTTCCTTCACGTCTTGTCTTTCCTGACTGACATTCTTCCTGTTATCTTTGGTATTCACTTTGACTCTCTGCAATTGTCCAATTTCCTTTCTTTTTTTAAAAAGAATGGTTTATCAGCACAAGCCCAGGAAGGGTGTTGTCACAGGAAGGTTGCTGCCTTTGTAAAGTGGGCATGCACACACAGATGGTGGGGAGGGGGAGATATGAGACTTTAAAATGCAAACATCACCTTGTATTTACATAATATAATGGCAGGATCCAGGCAAGTTGATTACTTCTCTGAAACTGTCAAGATTTCACTTGATTATTTATATAATATAGGCAGATATATAGATGCGGATATACATACATTCATACATACATACATACACACACACACACACACACACACACACACACACATCTCCTTTGAAGAAGGATGCAGGGCATTTGAAATCATTGAAATTGTATAGTATATTAATTCTTGCTTGATTGAAAAGATAGGAGATCTTACTGTATATTACTGAATATTCCTTCTTTCTATTACTGGAACTTCAGATATAATATATAAATAATAAACCAAGATAAAATTTTATTTGAATTCTGCAGTGTACAGATATTTGTAAAGCTTAGAGAAGTGCTCAAAGGAGAATTAGCTGGGAAGAGTGAGTTTTATTTTTTTTAAACATGGCTATTGTACATATACGATCCTGAAATCAATAAAGCACTGATTATATTACTACTTGTATTTGAAGGTCACAGTGCAATGGATGTGAGAGGAGATTCCATGAGGATGACTGTACACCTGCTTGCAAACACTGGACATGCAATGCACTTGCAACAAGCTCTTGATCAACTTCAAGAATGGATCTGCCTGGACATCCGCCTCTTTCTTGTCTCAGAACGCCCTTCTCCAATTAAGTATTATGAGACATACCGCCAAAAGAGTTCCAGGTTTCCTAGTACTTCTGTGCTCCTTTTTTTGCATGAGGACTTTGGAGAAGAACGGTTTTTCCAGGTCCATGACTTCTTCCAACATCCACCATGGCAGCCTGTCCACATTGAGTGTCCCAACAGAAAGCTACCCCTCCATGCTCTTGATCATCAGGACTTCTATGGACTGGATGAGCATATGCCAATATGGGGCCTGAGACAAGTTCACTATGGCATGGAAATCCTGCGTGTGACTCTCTATTGTAGCTTTGATAATTATGAGGATGCAGTAAGGCTTTATGAGACAATCCTGCAGAAAGAAGCATCTGTCCAAAAAAGTGGCTTCTGTGCTTTTCTACTGTACACAACACGGAGCCTTGTGGTTCAGCTCTGCTTGAAGCAGCTGCCTTTGGGGATGAGTGTTGAACTGAAGGAATCTTCAGTATTGCAGTTCAAAGTGTATGAAATTGGAGAGCTGGTTCCACTTTTGCCCAATCCCTGTGTCCCAATAAGCAATACTAGGTGGCAAACAGAAGACTATGAAGGAAATAAGATCCTGCTGCAGGTACTTGTTGTCACTGCAATAGATACCGAAGACATGATGATTGTATTGTCCTTAGAATGAATGCAATAGCTGGTAGTGCTGATAATTTATTTCACAGATATATTTGGTATGACTGTGCAGAGTGATTGTAGAGGCATTTTGTTCATTGGCATAAGAAACCACCGCTTTGTCCCATTGGTTGATTATTGACTGATTTAACATATTTTTAAGTGTTGAGGCAAGAATGTCTTCCAGAAAACCTGATGTGATTCTTCTGAAAACTTTTAGAGATACAGATGGTATTTCTGTTTAAATTGCATGTGGTTATGATTTTAGAAAGCATTCAAAGCCAAACTTTCTGAATATTGAAGTTGATTTGCAAAGGCAAAATATTAATGCTCTTTACAATTATATATGAATCAATCATTTTAACATTTTGTCTTACTATGCAGTCATTAAAAGACAAACAAAATCCTTCAAAAAGCCATCTGGCCTTCAGTAGGCTTGTGGCTGGCAACAAATCCAATAACATGTAAAATGAATGTTCATGCCTGGAATTAGGCCTTTTAAAAATCATCATAAACATGTATAAACAAGTAGACCAATTGAAAAATAGAATTGTTCAAAAGAACATTTTAGGGTAACAATCATCCCTTTCACTTGGTACAGGTGATATCTTTTCAGTGTTTGTGTGTTTAATTATTTCCACTACTGTTCCACTTTTTCTGCTCCCACCCCAACTCTTATTTTCTGATATTTGGCAGATAGATAGCAATGAGGCAGAGGAACAGCTGGAGCCTGTTCCCAGTGTGCGCAGAGCTGCCAGAAGATAAGACCAACTAAGAAAGCAGGGTTGATTTAGGAATAAAGCCACACGTTGCAGGTGATTGGCCCCTCCCATAGGAAACAAAAGAAGAGTGAATGGGGAGTGGGCTTTTGCAGGGAACAATTCGTTCATTTGGTAGTTTCAAGAGTGGAAAGTTCTATTTGTGACTATAAGAGACTCTGCAATGTTTTGCCTTGCACTGTGTTTGGAAACTAGTTATTTGGCAACTTTCCAAATGAGATAAGGTTTGTGTTTATAAACATTCCTCTGAAAGACTGTTTGCTAAGCCTTGCTGACTGTGAATTAAATGAATTCACAGTCATATAAATAAAAGGCGTTTTGCTGGGACCAAGACTACTTCTTGCTTTTTAAGGAAGCCTGGGTCAGAACACATAGATTCATAGGATCCTTTAGTCTTCTGCTGGGCTGTGGGACCGTCTTAGCTGTGCATTTGTATCTGTCATGCCATCTCCTATTACATTTAAGATATATATTATTCCTTAGTTTTTATTGAAGCATAACCAGAATACACACTAAAATGTGAAGCTCATGTTGACAGGTCAAATAAGTTTTATACTGATATTCAAGGCTAAGTATGTGTTTTCTTTACCTATGTCCTTAGTAGAACTCTTTAATTACTGATTTGTGATTCGTGGTTTTATAAGATCTATAAGTGTAGATCTGACTTTATTACTATTGTCAAGATGCAGTTAATTTATTTTTTTCCCTACAGGTTCAGAGCAGAGGCTCAAAGCACAATGGAACTCAGTCTCTAATTTCTAATTGGCGCAACAGCACTGATGAGAAAGGATCTCCCCATTACTGCTGTGATTTATGCTCCAGTGTACCTTCAATGGCTCCCAGAACTGCTGTTCAGCAGAAAAACCGGACACTTCGAGCCATGAAAAATAAAAACAAATCCTCAAGGAGGATGGTTCAAAATCCTGCACATCTTTTCATCCCTTCACAAAGCAGCTTTAATTCTTCCTCAAGTTTGTATAATATAGCACATTCTTCTTTGCAAGATTTAAGCCCTTCCCCGATGAACCTGGGCACTAAATTGAGACATTCCAGCCATGAGCTCTGGCTATGCGAGAACAAAGCAGAGGAGGAGGAAGAAACTAACGTTGACACAGGCAAGAGAGTAGCACCTTTTAAATGTGCTAACTCTCCCCTAAACAGATTTTCCAAGGACTTACAAAAAGAACTTCTTCCTTCCCAGGCACCAAACAGTTCATTTATGGGAGCAGATTTGCGTTCTGAGGACAGGAACTCTCTATTGTCTTTGCATCTTGCTGAAATTAATAAAAGATCAGGATTTAGTCGTTTTCAGCTGAGCACATCAGAAGAAAGTGATGGGAATGAGAAAGATGAAGAGTTTTTTATATGATTTGAAACTTTGTTGCAGTGGTGGATTTCAAAATTTTTAGAACCACCTCTGTAGGTGTGGCGTGCTTTGTGAGAGTGGCTTGCCGGCCATGTGACTAAGTGGGAGAGGCTTGCTGGCCATGTGACTGAATGGGAGTGGCTTGGCAGTCATGTGACTGGGTGGGCATGGCCAACTTCTAAAATGTGGTGAAACTCATTTAACAACACTGTTGCTTAGCAACCAAAATGTTGGCTCAGGAACTCTGGCATTGAAGCACGCAAGTCTTAAAGCTGTCAGGTTACAAGACCCTTGCACCCCTAGCCCTTTAGAAAAAAAAACCAGGGGTGTTCAAACTTGACAGCTTTAAGACTTGTGGATTTCAACTCCCAGAATTCCTCCTCCAGTCATGTTGGCTCAGGAAATCTGGCATTGAAGCACACAAGTCTTAAAGCTGCCAAGAGCCTTGCGCTCCTAGCCCTTTAGAAAAAAAAAACCCCAGGGATATTCAAACTTGACTGCTTTAAGACTTGTGGACTTCAGCTCCCAGAATTCCTCCTATTGCTCTTCATCTTGATGATGTGCAGACGAGCTGGGGGAGGGAACTGGAACCGGTTCTAAACAGCACTGTAGATTTGTGGAACCTCTATAGAAGAGGTTAGAACTGGCAGGAACCCACCCCTGCTTCGTTGTATCTTTTACTGCCGTAATTTTGGAATATCAGAAGGTCCAATTGATCTATGCTTCCGTATAAATAATCTAGCAGTCAATGCTATGCTATCTTTTTATATTAGCGCTACAAAGAAAGGTTTATAAAAATACTTGGGGGAAAAGAAGAAAATAAAGTTTGCTATATAAATTTCATGCACTGGAGAACATTGTGCAATAGATTGGAAGAAGCCATTCATTTTAATGCACCACATGAACTGATAGAAATTCACTAAAAATCTAGGACAAAACCCCAAACCTAGGAAAGCCTAAAAGAAATTTGGGAGTCATCAAGTTGGGATGATAAGAAAAGTGCTTTAGTTAATTTTGACTCATCTAAGAAGCTCATCAGAATTTGATCTCATTCATTGTTGGATAGGACCTCCGAAAAATATCCTAGAAGAAAGCATTGTAAAAATTATTGCCACCAAGAAAATATTTGGACACATTCAGGAAATCATGAAGGTTCAAGCTTAACTTTTCCCATACCATAGAAATTAATTTAAAGATATAGAAAACACTAGCCATTTTAATTTTCCCATCATTACTATGGTAAGCCTGTCCTCATTTTCCCCATGCTTCCTGTACTACATCTTGATGGCAAAAGTATAAAAATGCAACTTTGGGTCTTTGGAACTGATGTCTTTCCATTGTTGAAAATGCAACTTATAAAACAGAGGGGCTGTCAATCTGGCTTCTGAAAAAGTTACACTTTTTAGAATGGGCAAGATTAGACAATATATCTAAGGTCAGGATAAATGCTACATTTCATTAAGCATAATTTAAATATGTCAATTTCTTTAAGATAAACTGATTATTCTACGTTCATTTATTTTCATTACATTCATATTGAAACTGAGTAGCAATTTTTCCAGATTGCTGTGGAGAATGTATCAAAGCTTCTGGAACTCAGTTTTTGCACCTTGATGGAAAACATAGTGCTACTGTTGTGACTACTGTATTAATATTACTTAAACTATGAGCTGCTTTTGTCTAGCTGATGATACTTGATAATGAGTTCTAGGGAACAGGAAACAAATACTGAGCTTGTTAAGTAACATGCCATATCCCTTTCTCAACCTGTGTATCAGACAACTTAGATATACAACCAGAAGGCTGAGCTATATTCAGAATTATATGTAACTATAAGAAGAATGGCAAATATAGGTATGACACTGTGTACTTGCTTTAACAGATGAGTTAAACTTGTCAATAAAGAAGGATTGGCTTGTGAACTCATCATTTATTGCAGGAGTCTCTCAATGCATTTCTGTCTCACCTGCGCTTCCCTGCTTCATCTCAGATATCCCTACAGATTTCCTTCCTATTTCTTGTTGATACACTTCACACTACACAGTTATGCCTGTCAAAGAACTGTATTTGATGTCATATCTGGACTAAAACAATCCCAAATTGTTTGAGATATAAACTAAAATGCATCTGGGTTGTTGTTGCTGTTTGGGGGGTGCGGGGAGTGGGCATGGATCATCTGAAATCAGCTATCCTGGAATCAGCAACACCAACCTACTCTGTGTGGTTGGAAGGAATCTCAGGCAGCATCCCAAACAGGGAATGTGAAGGGACATCACTTGAATTCTAATAATAAAATATTTAGATTGGATGCCTGAAGGAGTGCATTGAAATTAACATTTATATTTCTTTATTTTCTGTATCATTAAAATAGAAGAGCTGATCTATTTGTATTTAATCATCCAGGTTCAGATTTCCACTTTATCATGAAATTCACTGGCTTTGGAGATTCATTCTCTCTTTGCAAAAATAATCAAATGAAGTAGTTACCATAAGATGAGAAATAAATCTCATCAACTTAAGGGAGGGTGGGAAGGAGAGGTGGGAGGGAAAGTATAAGGCTCTGTCTAATTCAAGCAGGGTGATCGGACCCAGATCTCTCAATTTCTGCTAGAAACAGAAAAAAAGTTTGAAAGGGTGTCTATGAGAGCTCAGAAAAAGAAAAGAAAAACTTTTCTGATAAAAATCTCAACATCTATCTTGTAGGAGGAAGGCCTTCACCAAGTAAGAAATCTTAAAACAATTTTAAGACATCTTAAGCCCAGTAAATAGGTTCTTAACTGTTCTCACAAGCTAATTTTTGAAAGCATTATTTTAACTAAACAAAATAATGCAATATAGTTGCTTTTTAAAATTGTCCTACTTGAAAAGGATCCAGGACTGAACTAGGTTGGAAAGGCATTTGCCTGAACTTCACTTTTGTACAGATTCAAAAGTGAAGACTTCAGAATATACATGGAAGTCAGCAAAGTCACCCTCAGCTGTCCTAATTATAGATGAGGAAGAAATAACATTACCGATAATACATAAAAATCAGTTGCTAACAAATCAGAATAACAGAACTGGAAGGGATCTTGGAGGTCTTGTAGTCCAACCCCCCTGTTCAGGCAGGAAATCCTACACCATTTCAGAAAAAATGGCTGTGCAATTTCTTTCTAAATACCTCTGGTATTGGAGCACCCATAATTTCCAGAGGCAAGTGACATCTTCACGTCTGAAGCAGTTCAAGTTTAAAAATCAACATCAGAGACGGTTACTATGTATTCAACCAGCAGTTTATTTTTTAAACCCGATCCACCTTGTATGGAATTATTAGCATTTTTATTTCATTCATTATTTTGGGACCCAGTTCATATCTCTATAGATATAGGTAGTAGGAATTCCATGGAAAAATTGTTTTGATGGTGTGGATATTTCCTAAGCACTAAGTTACTTCCCCCAAGTGTTGCCAGCAAAATCTGCATTTCTGAAATTCCATCTCAGTTCTTCTAGAATTGCTTTATATTTGCTTCAATTAGAGATGAACTTGCATAGGCAATTCATTATTCTGCAGAGTTGGTACTAGCCAGATAAGTGAGAGAGATGCATATACTTGGGTTGGCGGGCATAGATTAAAAAATTCATCCTAGCTGAATCATGAAAGTCTATATTATCCCTTATTATTTGAATTCCTACTACTTTCAAAATTTTGATGATGAAATGTTAGACTAGTGAAAGGGAGCCATACGTTGGGATAGGCAAGCTGATGCTTCCACATTTTACTATGTGTCATAGTCTCAGATTTGGTCTAACTGTCATTGTCCCACTCACACTGCTCTCAGTATGAATTGTGATGTATAAATAATGAACTATATTACCTCAATCAATTCATAATATCCCCAGATAGAAGCAATCATGTTTGTATGATTAAATATTTAGAAGGAAAATGGAAAGCCATCTTGTACCAACTCAGGCCTAGGTCTGCCAATCTATTCCAAATTTCAGACTCTAAAATACTGGTGAGTAGGGCACTAAACTGGTGCTACATAGGTAAGAGTTAACAGAACTCAAGGGAGACTGGACTTGAACCACTTAGAGTGGTTTCAATGATTTCAGGTTCTTTTGACTTTGGCCCCTGGCTCTGCCTACAATTTAGGGAGTCCTCAACCTACGACCACAATTGAGCCCAACATTTCTGTTGTTAAGTGAGACATTTGTTAAGTGAGCTTTGACCCATTTTACAATCTGTCTTGCCACACTTGTTAAGTGAATCACTGCAGTTGATAAGTTAGCAACACAGTTGTTAAGTGAAGATTTCCCCATTAATTTTGCTTGTCGAAAGGTTGCAAAAGGTGATCATATTATCCTGGGATGCACCAATGATCATAAAGTATGAACCAGTTGCCAAGCATCTGAATTTTGATCACATGAGCATGGAGATGCTGTAAAGGTTGCAAGTGTGAAAAATGGTCATAAATCATTTTATTCAGTACCAATTTAACTTTGAAGGGTCATTAAATGAACTATTGTAAGTCGAGGACTACCCCTATTGGCAGATTGTTAAATAGCCGTGTTAATATATTTGTCATACACAAAAACCATACTAAGCTAACAACATCTCTACAGATGGAATGCACTGCTTTTGTATGAATTTTTGCACAGAAGGTGTATTGAGATATTTCAGTTTGTTTATCCCAGAGGAAATAATTAGACATAAAGGAAAATGCTTGGAGTAATTTTAGAAATTACTCTAAGTGGACTGTGGTTATTTCCCCCTCCATTGCAGTCAATTAGTATGCAGCATGCCTCCCATTTTCCTTCTACCAATGAGAAAATAATTTGAGGAATGTCTCAAAAGTGCTGTTCCAATTTTTATTTGCAATTTCAATTTTCAGTATGAAGTCGTTGCTTTTCAACCATGCTGAGTTTAGCTCCAAAGAGCTTTATGAAAGAAGAAGAATAAAAAAATGTTTATCATTATCAAGGCAAATGCTGCAGCAATCTAAAAGAACTTGAGGTTACACTGTGCTTTAGGAGTATGAGTGCGATTTAGTTTGTCCACAATGATGGGGAAGCAAAAGGGACATTTGGGAGGTGATATAGGACAGGATGCTCCAAAGTTGCTTAGCGTGCCTCAGGGCACAATAACACCTTTTGTCTTGCCTGAAACCAGCAGCAGAGTTACTTCAAAAAAAGAGGAAGAAAAAATCTTCAGCTTGTTGCCAAGGAACTGAAATAGTGTCCCATAGCATCTTGGAAGCAAAGTAGGAGGCTGTTGGAGTTTTGCCTAGTATGTCCTGACCTGAGTGTAAGATTTTGAAGTAAGTGAATATCTGATGATTAATGCAGAAAGAGTAATTCGTTTTATCCTGTCTTCAAAATATTACGCATTCTATGCTGCCTGAGCTACATGTGCCATGTTTAAAATGACCAGTTGCTTATAAACGACCTAAATAAAACATAAATAAAGATCAGCCAGAGAGAGGAACAAAAAGTGCAACTGTGAAAAGGGGTAGAAGAGAGTTGCTGGCCAAGACAAGAAGCGAAGGGGAGTTTTCTTCTTCCCTCCCATTGCCAATCATGGGAGTAAATTCTTTATGCCAACCAAGTGTTCATCTGTTTCTATGGGCATCTAAAGGAATTGAGAGGATTTGGAAACTAGTAAAATAAACTCTTTTTTTCCAACAGCATGCCTTATTTTCCCTTAAACGATTGATGGAAAATTGTTCCCAGACTATCCATACTATCAGAGTTTCTGCTTGTGGAATGGATATCTAAATAATGTTGTGGACAATTTTTCCGTGTCAACTGGTGCTTCAACTCTTTGCAACAAGGCCTTGAATTTGATCATCTAATATATTTATGACAGTGTCCTTAACCTGCTGTTGATTGACTGAAAATGAATTGCGCAGCAGTCTTTAAAAAATACAGTATTTGAATTGTAAATAGTAAATGCCCAAATGTTAAAAAAAAGAAAAAATAAATCTTGTCTACTATCAGTGAAAATAAACACCTATCCCTGAATCAAGGAAATATGATCCCCACTCCCACCTTAGGGAACAAGTGAATTTGTTTGAGAATTTCTTCACTTACAAGGTACTATTAAATAATGACTTTATTTTAATATGATCAGAAACCAGAGTTTAGAGTTGCAAGATTAGAATCCAAATTGTATCCTGTCCTGTGTCCCTCCCACATTGCATAGATAAACCTAAGACTATAGCGCGCTTAAAATGCTAATACAAACGGGATAGAATTGGCTCATTGAAGTAAAGTCATGTTAACACAAATCTCCATGTAAAACTCGAACATGAAAAATGATCATTTGGAACTTGTAGCTGCATGTGGATGTGGAAATACTGTGCAGACTCTATTCATGATAAATTGTAGTTTAGCATACCGCTATTTTCTCAGTATGGCTTGGAGTTTAGTCATTCAAGCCACCCTGAGTCTCTCAAGAGTGGGCGGCATACAAACCCTATAAATAAATAAATAATTCAGACTTGATACCAATGTTTTGTGTTATGTTCATATCTTTCATATGAATGGAAAGTTTTAATATTTGAGAGGTTTTATCAACTCCAGTGGCTTGGTCATACACTAAAGAGCAGGGGTGTCAAACTTGATTTCATTGAGGACCTCATCAGGTTTGTGTTTGATTTTGGGGGGGAGTCAGGGGTGCAACTCAACATCATTCGGGTTGGGAGCACCTCTGGTAGCCTGAGCACTCTGCCAGTGAAAACAGAGTGCGGCCCTCCTGAGCTTCATTTTCGCTGATGAGGGACTATGGACCGGTCCTTCACTGTTTCCAGGGCAGCCCTGAAATCTAAGCACCCTGCGGGTCAGATCCGGCCCACGGGTCTTGAGTTTGACAGCCCTCGTATAGAGCATGAAATATTTTGAGAAAAGGCCAGCCAGAATTATTGATTTCTAGAGCAGGAAAACAATGGGATTTATGTGATGTTTTGATGCCTGCTATCTCCTAGGAAGCTTATTGCTTCATAAGGAATTTATATTTCATAAGGTTTGTGGAGCTTGATAAATCCAGATAAAGAGGAGTGACAGCTGCTACTTTGATAGAACATTGATAAAAAAATATTAGAGCTTGCAAAATGTTTTTAAAAGGCGTTTCAAAAACACATTGGCATGAATGAAGTAGCCTCACCTTTTCCAGTCCAATTGTTTCTCCATTCATGTGCAGGTAAAGCCCCAACTTCCCTGCTTCCTAAAGAAGTGTTCGGTGTGCTTCAGAAGGGCAACAAAAGGGAAAACATTCAGAACAGCTGGAGGAAGTCTGAAAAGCCAGGACTACTTTGACAGTTGGAAGTAAGGTATTTCATTCATGCTAATGCATTTTTTAAATGCTTCATTTAAATAAAAAGAAGAATATTGGTATTTGCTAGTAATCTACTGGAATTCCACTGGTTTCACTAGTTTCTTCTTAAACTTACATCTGACCTTTTAGTACAGATTTTAATTTACAAAACCCTTCAAAAGTATTAATAGGATATTTTGAAAACTCATCTAATGTGCACAGTAGGTCATGATGAGAAAGTTGCTTATTGAATTTACCTAGAAACAGGAGAAGCTACAATCTGTTTCTAATTTAAATTAAATGTTTGCTTTTTCCAGGGACTTTACTCATATTTAACGGAATATGCTGCATCTCCACCTTGTGGTCAAAAATGGGAGATTTTCTTGAAGATTTGTTCATTGTATAGAGTAGCTTTTATAATATTCCTGTGATTATTTCACAGACCTGTTATTTGAAACAGTTGCTCAAAATTTATCTAAGTCCTTCCATGTACCAAACAAAGTACAAAAGTATCTCTACTGAAAATATTTGTATATGTCACTATTTGACATCAGTTGAGGTTTTGGGGCTCTGTTTAACTAGATCTCCAATGTGAACCTGTTGCTGGTTATAAGTGGGTCGCTGGCCTGGTTTTCTCTGAGCAAAGGTAAGTCAACCACTCAAATACTGAGGCAGGAAAGATACCAACTCTGCCTCCACTGCCAATATTATTGCCACAAGAAATAGCAGATTTTACAATATCAGCAGTTCATAAATAGTAAATGTTTGATTTAAGGGATTAATAATATAAGGAAGGGCTACTTGTTAAAGTGGAATTGTGCTAAATTCCAATGGGATTTTATACTTCTAAAACGATGAATGGCTATTTTACACACATACAGAATACAAAGTGAACAAATAGAATTGGAATGTTAGAACTGATATTCACTAAACCGAGGTCCATTAAATTCTGGTTTCTTCTTTTGTACATTACAGGCATTCCTGAAAGATTTATCTCACATCACTTCTTAGCTCCAGAATTAAAATGTGCTTGAAATACAGGATTTACTTTTCTGCTTTCTGCCCTCCTTGCTAAAAAGAACAACTATAATTCTTTCACCATTGTATCCTTCTACGTTCACTACCAACCAAATAACCTGTTGGTTTCTGTCTTGACTAAAGACGTAAGAAATATACAACATACAAGAGATTAGCAACTGGATTTTTATGTAATGTAGACATTCTAATAACATGAAATTCACGAAGTTTGGACTGAAGTTTCTTGGATGAGAAGTGAAACATCTTCAAGGAAAAACAAAGAAAGTCCAGTTGCCTTTTGAAAAAGCACCTTTGGGACAACCATGACCTGAATGATTGACAATCTCCATAGACATAAAATTGGAGCCTTTCCCCTCCAAAGGTAGCTAACAAGGCTTGGCTTCTCACACTGAGAAAAGCAACAAAGATGATTTAAAAAAAAACCTAAGTCATGTGAAGAGAAATTGCAGGAGTTGAATATAGGAAGATCCTTGTGAAAGGTGTTTGAGGGAATATAAGATAATAGTCTTCAAATACCTGAAATAATGTTTCAAGGCCCTTTTTTTCCTTGATCCAGAGTATAGAATACAGAACAATTGATTTAAGATTCATGGATGCAGGTTTTGATTGAATATTTTGAAACAGTACAGGTTGTCTTTGCTTAATAACAATTTGTTTAGTGACCATTTGAATTTATAAAAGCACTGAATTAAGAGACTTATGACCCACACCCAAAATTATGACTGTTGCAAACCTCCCCCCACATAGTCACTGGATTGCAATCTGGACTCTTAGCAACCTGTTCACTCTAACAGTGTTTGCCAAGAGGCCTGTAATCGTGTGACTGCCATTTGAAAGAGAAAGATGAAAGCTGGCTGCTGACAGGACCTGGGGGCTGGCTGAAAAAGATCCATTAGGATCCATTTTAGAATAGACCTTTTTCACCCATCCGGAGGGGCTGCTTACCAGATTGATTTCATGCCATGTGGAGTTCTCCCCTGCCTCTCCCAGGCAATCCTGTTGCTTTCAAAGAAGCTAGCTGACAAAATATGGGCCAAAACTCAAGCAGGAATTTGGCACAGGGCACTTGAAGAATGGGGCATTTGGAGCCAGCCTGGGCAATCCCTCATTGCAAGCTCCCATGCCAAAATCCTGCTTGGCTTTTGGCACAGACATTTTCAACCAGTGTCTTTGAAGCGGAAGGGCTGCCTGTCAGGTTGACTTCACTCCACATCATGAATATCCAAGCTTCTTTTCTCCAATCCGGTGCTGCAGTTCCTTTCTGCTCATGAAGGGCAGCTTCCTGTCTGCCCCATCCCCACCCCCACCCCCATCTTGGCAACAACTCTTTTGCTCCTTCCGCTCAACCACTTGTACAGTCACTTAATAATTGCAACTAGGAGAGCTGGGATTGTGGTCATAGAGTCAACCAAGTGAGAATCTTGCTTAATGGCCACAATGACTTATGACCAAAATTCCAGATTCAATTATGAATGTACATTGAGGGTTACTTTTAAGTGCAGTTCATGTTTAGTCCTTGAGGCTACAACTGACCGCCAGCAACAGCCAGGCTGCACCTGATTGGCTAAGGCGCGGGCATGGCTGAGCGCGGGGTGTCAGACTCGCGCCTATTGGCCTCCCTGCTTGACAGCTCCATATAAATAGCTGGCAAGCAGGGCGGAGTCCCAATCTACCGCTAGCCTGTCTACTGTACAGATCTGTTCTAATAAAGTGCTGTTAACTTACCTCAGGAACCTCATGCCTCGTTCCTTCAGGGAATACTTCAGTTCAGTGGTAGAATTGATTGACCAGAGAGTTGATGAGCTCCCGTTTATTAAAAAGAGGCTAGACAATCATCTGTCCACAATACTTTGATTTGCCTTTCTCAGTGAGTAGAGATGGCATTTAAATCTATGGAACAGTGTAAAGTTCTGATTATTTTAATAGCTCATTGAGAGTTTGAATTCAAGAGTTGCGCTATCTAACAGTGACTCTCCTAGATGCAAGGAGGCAAGATGTTTTCTGTCTTACCAAGTCTTACCAAGAGAAAGAAAAAAGATTTTATCTGGAGCCCTCTGCTTGCAATGGATCTATTCCACCACTAAGGTATGCCCTTTGCTTATTCATTTTGTAATGCATCATAAAGACCTCTCGGTAATTCTTCATGTAGCCCATCAAGTAAAACCAGTTCATTTTATTTTGAGAAAGTGAGTTGATGCAGCAGTAACATTTCAATACATCTAAAATAAATTATCTCAAAAATCCATAACCTATACTAGGAAACTACCATGTATTAGGGAATAATTGGTCACAAATTGATATGAAAATATTTCAGTACTATAGCTATGCCAGAAGCCAGCAATTCTGTAATTTCATCTCATAGAGCCATGATAGTGAACCTATGGCCTATGTGTTAGAGGTGGCCTGCAGAGCCTTCTCTGTGAGCACATGCGCAGTCCCCAGCTGCTCTACTAGGTTATGTCATATGCATGCATCCCGGACAGCTGGTACAGCGCACATGTGCGCAATGGAACCCAGAAGAGCAGATGGGCGCTGCACGCATGCGCATTGGCCAGCTGCTCTCTTCTGGATTCTAGTACTCCGGTGCACAGCACTCCATGCCAAAAAGATTAACCATCACTGTCATAGAACAAGTACTGGATTCCATCTGAAAAGGGTTCATTTAAGTCTAAGATTATGAAATGCATTCATGCCTCAGTCAAGATTTACTGGGATTAAGAAGCAATCAATGACACTATGTTGAAGATAACGTTCAAATCCTAGTCATGAAGCAGAGTGACCAGAGAACAGATTCAGTGCTTCCTGAGCTTGTCTGGAGATTGTTTTAAGAAGAAAAAAAGAGAGGAAAAAATAGAAGCATATATACAGCAGGTCATATTGGTGTCAGATGGGTTTTAAGGAAGTCACAAAAATTCAATTCTTGAATTTCACACATGGTTCCATCTATTAAATCCTTATCTGTTTAAAGCTAATGCATTAATTTGAAAAGTGCTTTATATGCAATCAGTTTTTTAAACCAATCAGTTGGTGATTATTACTGGAATAGAAAATCCCAGGAATGAAGAAAGAAATGATAAACCAGTTCAAGAAAATTACATAATAGTTTCTCTGTAGATGAAGATAGTTCTAGCTAAAATTATAAATCATGCCTTATTATAGATTTAATAAAGTATTAAAAAGAGCTAGTTAATGTAGTGGTTAAGGCATCAGGCTAGAAAGTGGGAGATGTGAGTTCAAGTCCTGTCTTAGCCATGAAAGCCAGCTGGCTGACTTTGGGCCAATCAGTCTCTCGCACCCCAACCCACTTCACAAGGTTGTTGCTTATGGGTAAAATTGGAGGAAGAAGGTGTGCTGGATATTCCTGCTGTCTTATTTGTAAAAATGATACAAACAAATAAATTTCCACCTGCTTTAAAAGGAAATGTTCTCTTTTAGGGGCCACACTATAATACCACTCACTCATCACAAAATCTCCAGAACCAGAAAGCCTACAAACTTGAAATTTGGCACGTATGTTCCGCTTGGTTTCTGGCTGCTCACTAGGAAACAATTTTTCAAAATGACCATCACATCATTACTAATTCTTATACAGTAATTAACATTTTCTGATGCTAAGGAGTTCTACTCCCCCTCCCCCTTAAAAAGAACTCTGTTCCAACTGCCAGTTGTCTCACATTCCATTACCTCCATTTACCAGTGACGTGCGGTGAGCTTTATGGCTGGTGAGGCAGCATTTTTTTTAGACTAGTGGACTTCAACTCCCAGAATTCCACAGCCAGGCATGCTCAATTCTGATTTAAAACGCCAGTATTTTTCCCCCTTGCAGAATAAGTTTTCCCATTCTTTTTCTTCTCCCTTCTACTCCTTCCTCCCTCTCTCCCTCCCTACCCCCTCTCTCAAACAGACACACGCACACAGAGAAGTTGGATCCCTCTCTNGAACTGCTGAACTGCAGATAACAGTCAGCTGAAGTGGCCTGCAGTACTGCACCCTAACCATTGCGCCACCTCGGCTCTTGTTTTCCAAATGATTAACCCATCAGTAAAGAAGCTTCAAACCCTTTCTGTACACTATGGTACTAGATCCAGCTTGTGACTTTGCCCTTCTATTTCAAACCCGAAGATCCAGCACTGTCCAAAGACATCTCCGTGATCATGTGGCTGGCATGACTAAACACCGAAGGCGCACGGAGCACTGTTACCTTCCCACCAAAGGTGGTTCCTATTTTTCTACTTGCATTTTTACATGCTTTCAAACTGCTAGGTTGGCAGCTGGGACAAGTAATGGGACCTCACTTTGTTACACGGCGCTAGGGATTCGAACTGCCAAACTGCCAACCTTTCTGATTGACAAGCGCAGCGTCTTAGCCACTGAGCCATTGCGTCCCTAATATACTATATAACATGAACCAAAATAAGGTTCTGAATAAAGGTACAAAGCATGAAGAATTCCATTCTGGCACAAAATTTCATCCATTCACATTCTGAATCTGGAATCTGCCTGGCCTTATTTCAGCCACAGGAGGACAATCCTACCTCTCTCTCTCTATCTCCAAGGAAAGCCTCTTCAGATCAATGTCTCTTAAATCCATCTTTACAAATCCTTTGTCACCATTGGTATCTCTCGTGTCCACAGGCGGAAATGAAGTAGACTTAACAGTATGCTGGAAAAGACCACAGAAACAAAAACCTGTGATATTGAATCCTACATTGTTTAGGAATAGGTTCTGAACCCCTAGGATTGTGCTATGCAGAAAATGCCACAGAAAGACACACACCACTGGGTGGCATAATTACAGCCAAGCACAGATCTGACTGGAAGTTGTGTAGATCGGCTCTAGTCTAGTAGAAACAGATGCCTGTTTGCCTGAGGTAAACAAATTGTCTACCCTGAAAGCATATACAAGCACAATGTAATGGGACCTATCATTTTACCTTTCTATGTTTGGCAACTTCAAATATTTCCCTTTTTAATAGAAGATAATATCTGTAGCTCAGGAATGAACGATGGAGTTTCTTTTTCTCTCTAAACGTGGTTGTCTGCTTGCAAATATTTCATTACCCAACTAGTTAATCACCTTGCAAGTAACATCAATACTAATGATGAAACTTAACCTTTCCCCAAAAATAAGACCCAATCAGAAAATAAGCCCTACCATAGTTTTTCACAATGCAGGTAATATAATCCCCCAAAATAAGGCCCAATTAAGATAATCAGCCAGACACATGCAATTAGTACCGTATTTCCCCCCAAATAAGACACAACCAGAAAATAAGCCCTACCATAGTTTTTTCAGGATGCAGGTAATATAAGCCCCCCCAAATAAGCCCCAATTAAGATCATCAGCCAGACACATGCAATTAGTACCGTATTTCCCCTAAATAAGACCTAACCAGAAAATAAGCCCTAATGCATCTTTTGGAGCAAAAAATAAGATAAGACCCAGTCTTATTTTCGGGGAAACATGGTAGTTACATAAGACATCTGCAAGCAAACAACCAAACTCAGAAAACACCAAGTACTCCACATTTTCCTTTTTAATCAGTCCTTCCTAGAAAGGCACCCCATAATTCTAGCTGAAAAGGTTGCTGAGATACTTTGAATGGAATACTACATTCCCCATGATTCTCTGCCTCCCAAAGAGAGAGAGACTGTACCTATTGCAGGTTTATTCTTTACCTAAGGATAAATTACATCATTGTTATTCTATCTCTAAAGCAATCATGTATTTTTTAAAAAAAAACACTTACAGGAGGAGAGTTAAACTTGCTGACGTCTTGAAGCTTTTGCTTTGCTTTCTCTTCGGCTTCTCTGGCTTCCTGTAGGTCCTGCTTTAAATGTTCAGCTTCTTTGACCCTGAGAAGCCAAATTATCGTCATAAGCAAATCAATCCATATTTCTCAAAGAAAGTCCTTAACTAAGGCCTTGAAAGCACTATTGGCTTCAATCAACTTTAATAATTTCTGTGGCTGCCTCATGACTCAAAAGCAGAACCTAAGAGAATCCATGGTATCAGGTAACCATGGTAACTGCTAAACCTCAGTTTATCAAGGATCTCTCCATATTCCTGATTTTTTTTCTATACACAGAAAGATTAGTCATAATATTAAGAAAATAATTGGGAGATTAGTAGAAAAGAGGTAATTATTCACTTGTGTTTCACATTCATGTGCAATTTAGAAACTATTTAAAATGTGTGGATTTAAATACTATTGTTTAAATTGTAATATGCAACTTAAATATGCAATTTAATGATAACTGCAGTTTAAAGCAATTATAAGTACTTCATTAAATATAATTTTAAATTTACTTTTTTTATATGCATGCATTTTTGCTGTTTATACTGTAAAAAAATCCCTCTAAAATTCAGGAACCAGAATGCCAGCAGGATACAGTCCAAAAAAGTGTCACAAATTTAAAGAAACCTGATTCTTGATGACTTCACAAACACATTCATGGAGTTTTCTGGGCAGCAAGAGAGAAATGGCTTCCCTCTGCTTTCTCCTACAGTTATATTTCCCTTTACGGTATAATTGATCCCTGAATAAATTCCAAAGATTGGTCTCTTACTTTTAAACCCAAGCCTTCATTTTCCAGCCCTGACTTTTTGTCTTGTGATCCCATCAGAAACCAGCACTTAGCATTTATACCCATAATAGTTCATGAGGAACATATTAAAATGTTTCTAACTTGTAAGGTGAAGGTAAAGGTTCCCCTCGAGTATATGTGCTAGTTGTTCCCAACTCTAGGGGGCGGTGCTCATCTCCATTTCAAAACCGAAGAGCCAGCGCTGTCCAAAGACCTCTCCATGGTCATATGGCCAGCATGTCTAAACACTGAAGGCGCACGGAATGCTGTTATCTTTCCACCAAAGGGAATTTTTTGCATTTTTACATGCTTTTGAATTGCTAGGTTGTCAGAAACTGGGACAAATAACGGGAGCTCACTCCGTTACACGGCGGTAAGGATACGAACCGTCAAACTGTCGACTTTTCTGATCAACAAGGTCAGCATCTTAGCCACCGAGCCACTGGGTCCTTGGGACTTACTAACCGCAGTGCTATAAGGCAGCTTGCAGAAATGCATGTCCTTGACATATGACCATAAGGGAGCCTAACAGTCATAAAATGGATCAGTCATGTGACTGACCCTATTTAAGGACATTTTCTGCAGTGGTTGTTAAGCAAATACCATGGTTGTTAAGCAAATCCATTGTTTGCTATAGCATAGTTATGCTAAAAACTGGGATTAATTTCTGGTTTTCAGCAAAACCATCATAAAACATGGTTAGAACCCTGCTGTTGGAACATCAGAAGAGTCAAAATTCCCTTTTTCCAGGTAGGCTGTAACTTCAAATGGTTGCTGAGCGACCAATCATGTAAGTCAAGGACTACCTGTACATGTGTTTTTCATCAAAAACACCCGAGGGAGCACATGCAGAATGACTAACTAAGTTTCTAGTACAGAGTGTCACCTTCGATCGGACTCCTTCACCAGCTTCATGGCAATCAGCTCGGCCTCCCTTATCTTGTGCTCCATCAGTCGCTTCTCCTCGCTGGTTTTCAAGGCCGCCAACTCTAATCGATGGCGCTCCTGCTCTGCTTCTGCAGCGTTCTGAGCCAACAGCTTGGCTTCCTCCTCCGCGATCTGAGCTTTCTCAGCCAGCAATTCTGCTGCTGCCTCTGAACGGCGCTGGAGGGGAATTTTAAAACAAGCATCTTGAGAGACCGCCTGCTGCCAATTACCTCCCAAAGACCCATTAGATCACACAGGGTTGGCCTCCTCCGGGTTCCGTCTACCAGCCAATGCCACCTGGCTACTACCCGGGGAGGACCTTCTCTGTGGCAGCTCCGGCCCTCTGGAACGAACTCCCCACAGGGATTCGGACCCTCACCTCTCTCCAGGCCTTCCGAAAAGCCGTCAAAACCTGGCTTTGCATTTAATAAAGAGATTGGTCTATAATTCTTGATTTGTGTTAGATCAGTCTCTTCCTTGGGTAGTAGTGTGATATACGCTTCTGACCATACATGCATACATGCATACATGCCTATCAATCTATCCATCCAATCTATCATTGTTTTCTCCTCTTCCTTCAGAACCCGGAAGCCTGGTATCGTCCTTGTGCCGAAACCGATGTCAGCAATTGGAGGCTGGGCCAAACCCCGG